GTAAATTCAGTAGTCTTTTATTGTAGAAATGACCCCTTATAGATCTCAGGCGTATCTAGAGTAAAATTACATTTTTGTCTTTGTTTTAATAGGGAGATTTGAAGTTATTATGACACCTTTTCTTATTTGTAACTAATCCCGACAACCTTTCATATTCACAACCAATATTAGCATTGTTTCATATTCATAATTGTTTCAAGAGAGATGACTGATGATACAATAACTTGGTCGTTTGGTCAGTTGAAAGCTTTTGGTTGACAGGCAAACAATGGATCGGTCGAAAGGTCGTTGGTCAGCCCTTTCCATGGAATCCCAACTAGAGGCCTCCTGTCATTAGGGTAAACTTGGGTCGTCAGGCGGAGAGTATATCACAGTAATATGTTAGGCAGCTCTCCTTAGATAAGAAGCCTTCTCATAGGATCAGAAAGTCATTCTGCGGGTGACTTTTAGCCATGTTTGTGAGGAGTTTCAGAATCAACTGAGGGAGTTGGTCATGAACGATTGCCCCTCATATTTGTCTCCTTCTATTCCTTCATCCGGCCGTGCTTCTATTCAGTTAGCTCAAATTTAGTGTTTCCGTCTTTTAACTATCCCGATACATTGTCTTTTTTTGTTCATAATCTTGATATATACTTAATATTTTTTTGTTTTTAATAGTGAAATACTCATTCTCAACCATATGTTTATGACACAAGATGTTATAAGTGTAAATATCAAACTTTAGGTGTTATAGCTAACGTGAATACACAAAAATTGTGTGGTAATTTTGTAAATTTTTAAATTTCAAAAACATCAATTCATTCGCGAAGAAGAATTTCTTCTAGAAAAAAAAGAAATGTTTATGAGGATGAACTTCAAATCATTTGGATTTATTTTAAATTTAATATAATACATTTTTTAATACATAGTATTTATTTTTTATTTTAAAATTTATGTGATTAACACGTGTCCTCATGGTGTGATGCCTTCCATAATCACACTTCTTCACGAGTCCTTGTCTCAATGGAGGACTATTTTGATCCCGTAGAGTAAAATTCTTCTATGTTCGGCTGAGTACTCGCGAAGCAATGTAACGTGGAAGCCATCATATAATTCCTTGCAGAAATTGTTTTACTTGTGAGAGCTGATCTCCCGCTGGTACGTTATGCTGTGTCCCCCTCATAATTTAATTAAACTACTACTTTTAAATTAAATTCATTTAATGAGCTAAAAAGTTATAAGGTAATCATGCATAATTTAGAATGATTTTTTAAATTAGATTAATAGATGGCATAATGATTTGCATATCTAACACTAATTGTTCTATAAAGACCTCTAACTCTCATATTAAAGTGAAGTTGGGGATTGATAAAAAGATAAAAATAACTTGTAACTCTTCCATTAAAGTAAGGGCAAACATGTAATTTTAGATTTGGACTCTCGTTCTTCTATAATTAGGGAGCTCATAGAATTTTAAAAAGGGGGCTATGCTCTCTTGACTTTTCTCATATATGAATAACTCTCTCCACGTCTCAATTTAAATGTTATTTTTTATATATAAAAGAGGTCAAAAAGCACGAGGATACCCTAGTTCACTTTTACTGGGCAAGTTCATGCTAATTTATTTCTTTTTCTTTCTGTTTTTTTTTCTTCCTCAAGGTTCATACCGCTCCAATCATTGTGCATGCCTCACATGACAAATTTGGATTCAATATCCTAAAATATGGAGTGAGCGTGAAGCTTACTACCAATAAGAAGGGAAGTGACACCAACGAAGTGAAATACATCTCAAAGACACTCCTAACAGGGAGAGCGTTAAGGAGTTCATGCAACAATAGATTTGGAGCTGGAAACGTCATTTTTTTCATCTTCTTAGATGCTTTAATTAGAAGGCAAGTACCACAAAATGGATGGTCGGCTTCCAACAGTTAAAACAAGCCGACCAACCGTACATGTGCACTACTCTGTCAATTTCGAGCCACTGACACCTCATCCAATAAGAAAAAGGAGTGTTACTTCACAATTTACCTTGTGTTATGACATAAATTTATCTAATCTTGTTCCAGATTCAACTAACATTCGGGGAACTCAATTCTGAGTGAGCGAACAAGGTGTTAACAAACAAAAAACTCCCTTCTGGGCAGAGCAAACAAAAGATTCTTCCAGAGTGAGCGAACAAAAAACTCCCCTCTATGGTGAGCAAACAGAAAACTCCATCCGGAGTGAGCAAACAAAAAACTCACCTCCAATTTGAGTAAAAAAAAGACTCTCATCTGGGATGAACAAACAAAAAATTTCCCTATGGGGCAAACAAACAAAAATCTACAAATTGAGCAAAAAAAAATCCCCTTTAGGGCAAGCAAACAAATGATTTCATTCGTGGGCAAGCAAACAAAAATATTTAAGATGAGCGAGTAACCGAGAGACTCACCTAGCAAATGGGATTTACGAAGACTAAGACTTGAGATGGATGATATTAAGACTGGTGATTCTATGAGGAGTTGGGTCGCTATTCAACACAGACAACCTCATCAACATATGCAAATAACTTAACACAATATCAATCAAAGAGTTGATTCAGAGAAAAATGCTCATGAGCTGGCAAGATAGCAAAAAAGATACTATAACTGAGCGTAGAGAGCGCCTAAATGTGGAGTATCATCAGTGATTCATGCAATAAATTACAAAGAGTTTGATTAGTAAAGTATTTATTATAAAAAAAATAAATCTACTTTTTGCAGTTGTCACTTTCAAGAAGTAAGAAAATCTAAAAATTAAAATATGTAGATGAGAAATGTGACAACATAAATTCAAGGAAATCAAATTCGACAATATGCATGCATGCATACATCCACACACACACACACACACACACACACACACACACACACACACACACACACACACACACACACACACACACACACACACACACACACACACACACACACACACACATATATATATATATATCATACATACATATGTATACATATATATATATATATATATA